TTTAAGTGAATGACTTCGGAAAAAAGTAACTTTATTTAACACAAGGTTCTGACCTCGGGCAAAGGAACTGATCTTTGATTTAGAAGAGGCGGACTTCGCGAAAAGATAAATCAAATCACTTCACAAGTAAGAGTAATAAAATCACAACCCAGTCAAATGAAGTGACTGAATAACTCACGGTGAAAGGACTGAACCACTTCGAATGTGAAGTGGAGTTTATTAATTGAGTTCGGACACAAAGAGAATAAATATAAAAACGAGACAAAGTTTACTGGAAAGAGACGCACTAAAGGTAAAACTTCTTCAAGTTATTGACGTTCCAGACCCTGGGAACTCGGTTGCCTTCAGTGTCTCGTAGGATATAAGCACCTGGGTGCGGCACTTCGGCAACAGTATAGGGGCCTTCTCAGTTCGGTGCTAACTTGCCGAATCGAGTTTCGAACCCCGTAAGACCAGCTTTCCTGAGGACAAGGTCTCCTATTTTGAATGTTCGGGGCCGAACTCGTCTGTTATAAAAGTTTGCTATCTTCTGCTTGTAGACTAGAGTTCGAAGTCGCGCTTCTTCTCTAACGTCATCAAGTAGATCAAGATTCTCCCGAAGCAGCTGCCCATTTCGTCCTTCGTCGAAATGGGTGACCCTGAAGCTCGGGACTCCGATCTCGACAGGAATGACTGCTTCGGTTCCGAAGGCCAGATGATAAGGTGTTTCGCCTATTTTAGTGGATTATAACTTTAGAGTGCGCTTTATACGTTATGCATATTTATTCTAAGGTAAAACCGTAGCGGAAGAAGTGAAATAATGTAAAATTACTCAAATAGGCCATGCGTAGAATAATACCTGTGGCAGTTCGACTCGTTGTTCTGTATGCCCAGAGAACATTGTTGAGCTCGTCTGCCCATTTGGCCTTGTGTTGTTCCAGCCTCGGCTTTATACCTTCTAGGATGCACTTGTTAACGGATTCGACCATGCCGTTGGACTCCGGATGGTAGACCGAGGCGAACTGTAGTTTAATCCCATAGCTGGAACAAAAATCTCGAAAAGAGGTGCAGTTAAACTGAGTTCCATTATCAGCTACAATCTGATTCGGGATCCCATATCTGCAGATGATTGAGCTGAAAACAAAGTCTTCAACTTTCTTGGAGGTAAGACTGGACAACGGCCGAGCTTCAACCCACTTTGTGAAGTAATCTACACCTACGATCAGGTGGGTTACACCACCAACCCCTTTTACGAATGGGCCCAAAAGATCCAATCCCCACTGAGCAAATGACCATGGTGCTACCAGAGTAGTGAGTTCTTCTGCAGGCTGGTGAGTCAGGTGTGCAAAGAACTGGCATTTCAAACATCGCTGAACAAAGTGAGTGGCATCCTTGTACATGTTTGGCCAGTAATAACCCTGTCTAAGGACTTTATGAGCCAAAGTTCGAGCACCTACGTGACTTCCGCAGACACCTTCATGCACCTCCCTGAGTGCATATTCTGCTTCATAGGGATTCAAGCACCATAGAAGAGGTAGAGAGAAAGATCGCTTATAGAGAACCCCATCAATAAGTGTATACCGGGATGCTTTCCTCCTCAACTTCATTGCCTCATGCCTGTCCTCAGGTACTATCCCATCTCGCAAAAATGAAAGGATTGGGTCAATCTAGCTCGGTGTGCTTGGGTTGGTACTGATCTCCATCACTCGTGGCTTCACGAAGCTTGGTTTGTCTAAGACCTCCACAAAAACTGATCTGGAATGTGAAGAACTATCAGAGGCGAATTTAGAGAGTGAATCTGCCTGTTCATTCTCAGTTCGGGGAATTTTGCTCAAACAGAATTTCTGGAATTTGCACTTCAGCTCGGCCACCAGAGCTACATACTTCGCCATCACAGGATCAACAACTTCGCAAATTGAGTTAATTTGGTTCACCACCAGTTGAGAGTCGCTGTATACTTGGATCGTACTGAGTTTTAATTCCAGGGCTAATTGCAGACCCAGTAGCAGGGCTTCATACTCAGCCATGTTGTTTGTTGCCTCGAAGTTAAATTTCAGAGCATGTTCACTTCGGTATCCATCTGGGCCAATCAAGAGAGCACCAGCTCCTGAACCTTTGCTACTAGATGCCCCATCAACATATAAGGTCCAGTCATTGGACTCCGTAATAGGAATGGAATTACCTGGAGTGCACTCTACAATGAAATCTGCCAGTGCCTGAGCCCAGATCGCAGATCTCTGCTGAAATGTTATCTCAAACTCCCCCAGTTCTACTGCCCACTTAATTAATCTTCCAAAACACTCAGGCTTTTGCAGAATCTGTCGAAGGGGTTGGTCTGTAAGAATAATGATTGGGTGCGACTAGAAGTACGGCCTCAACTTCCTGGCCGAAGTGATGACTGCTAAAGCTGCTTTCTCAGCTATAGGATACCTCAGTTCGGCTCCATGCAGCACACTACTGATATAATATATTGGTTTCTGCTGCTTAGCTTCTTCTCTTACCAGAACCGAACTAATGGCTTCATATGAAATTCCCAGATATAGATAGAGGATTTCTCCATCTTTGGCTTCAGTCAGTAGGGGTGGTGAGCTAAGGTAAGACTTCAGCTCGTCGAATGTGGCTTGGCATTCCTAAGTCCACTCAAACTTCTTTTGTTTGCCCGATTCGTCCTTTTGGGCGGCTGACCTCATGATCTTGAAAAATGGTAGGCACTTATCTGCTGACTTCGATATGAACCGATTAAGAGCTGCTACCCTTCCAGTCAACCTCTGTATGTCCTTTACTGACTTCGGTGGTTCCATCTCGGCAATTGCTCTGATCTTCTCTGGGTTGACCTCAATTCCTCTCCGAGAAACCATAAAACCCAGGAATTTTCCAGATTCCACACCAAAGATGCACTTGGCTGGGTTTAACCTCATTCTATTCTGTTTGAGATTGTTGAATGTCTCCTCAAGATCGGTTAAATGATCGTCGGCTTTCAAACTCTTCACCATTATATCGTCAACATAAACTTCCAGATTCCGTCCTATCTGAGCTCGGAACACGATGGTAACCATCTTCTGGTAAGTGGCGCCTGCATTCTTCAAGCCGAAGGGCATCATAACATAGCAATAGATCTCATCACCAGCATAAAACGAGGTTTTTTCTTCATCCTCAGGATCCATTGGGACCTGGTGGTAACCTGAGTATGCATCCAAGAGACTCAATCTCTCATTCCCCGAAGCTGCCTCCTCCAGTTTATCAATGTTTGGCATTGGATAACAATCCTTTGGACATGCGTCGTTGAGGTTAGTGTAATCGATGCACATTCGCCATTTACCGTTTGCTTTCTTGACCAACACCGGATTGGCGACCCACTCACAGTAATCTACCCTCCTGACAAAGCCGGCTTGTAGGAGTTTCTCGACTTCTTCTTTAATAACCTTTAACCTCTCCCCCCCGAAGAGACGTCGCTTCTGTGCTACTAGTTTCTAGAGGGGATTGGTGCTGAGTTTATGTTGAAAAACTGAAGTGGGGATTCCCGGCATATCTGCTGAAGTCCATGCAAAAACATCTTTATTAGCCCGAAGAAAAGCTATTAACTCTGCTCTTTCCTCCGGGTTTAATTTAGTCCCAA